CCTGTAGGGCTATGGGTCAGTGAGGGGAGTCATGTCTCATAGTGGGGCTGGCCATGTGGTCCTCTCTGGGGACTGGGTGCTCTAATTGGGAACATTGTCCTCACGGCCTGGTGGGCCAGAATGTGCTCCCCTCTCCTCCTCCCCCTTCATCTGCTCCCATGTGCTCCAGTCAGATATGTCCCTCTCCCGGAGCTGCAGATTCAATGCCATCCTTTGAAATAAATTCTTCTGTGGGGAGGGGCAGTTGTCCAGATAGTACTTGGGACTGGGCCCGGCCCCTCAGACCTCTCCACTGGTTCCTTGCTCCACACCGGCATGTTGCATTCACATCTTGGAGCACTGGGTTGAAGTCTGGTCCCTCTTTCCCTGTAGAGATGTAAACAATATCCTCTCCTTGGGTAGGTTAGTGCCCTGTGCCCTGCTAACCTTTTTTTTTTTAATTATTATTTTTTTCCTTTTCCCCACCTCCTTTTTAGTTGTCTACCGTATGTATCCCCGTATTTGGTCTGGTCCCTGCCATACTACCTGGTCCTCACCCCAGGAATGTTTGTATTCAGTAGCTTTTTCCCTATGCCCCTTTTGCATTTCTTTTTTTAAGCTTACCTCAGCGGACTCATGTTGTCCTTTTGTGCTTGACTTTGCTTAGTATGATTTCCTCCAGTTCTTCCCATGCAGCAATGTGCTTCATACATTCATCACTGCTCTTTAGCGATGTGTAGTACTCTATTGTATGTATATACCACGGCTTTTTAATCCACTCATCAGTTGATGGAAATGTGGGTTGTTTCCAACTCCTTGCAATGGTGAACTGTGCCGCAATGAACATTGGAGCACAGATGTCTGGCCTTGGTTTGTTTCTTGCCTCTTCTGGGTATATGCCCAGTAGGGGGATTGCTGGGTCATATGGTAACTCGATTTCCATCTGTTTTAGATATCGCCAGATCGATTTCCATAGTGAGAAATCATATGTTGGAGTAAGACCGGCCTCACGGATTTTCAGATGTGTAGGATGGAGTTTGTTGTGTGAAATAATGGAAGGGGAAAGGTGTGACAAGTCAGTGTCAGGTTTAAACACTTGGATTCACCACCAAGTCCTGACCGACAGGATGGCAACTGGTGTTTTCTACACGTTATTTGAGGGAAGATTTATCCAGAATTCTTCGGGTGGTTGTATGTTTGGATTTTAGGATTCAGATTTAAAATTTTGAAAGGGTAATAATATAGTATATAGAACATAGATTATACAACTTCAGTATCAACCCCATTAATGTTTAAGGCAGCACTGTTGAATCAAATGCATCAGTTTTTCTAGCAAAAAATGCAAAAGTGTCACATTAGTGGAATTAAAGATTATAAATAGGCTGGCCAGCCAGGTTGGGTTACCTCTTTACAGTTTAGGGCAAGCCAGATGGGGTTTATTTGTTGGTTTCTTTTAGAGATTTCTATATAATTCACCATCATCTGTAAACAAAGACAATTCTATTTCTTCACAGTATGTATAGCTTTTATTTGTGGTGAGAGAAAGGGCTATCCTTCCCTCATTCCTTATCTTTGGGGGTGGTAAGGCAGTTGTGCTTATTTCAAAATGTAGACTAAAAAAACCCTGAAATTACCATGATTGGGTAGAGTGGGGGAGGGAAGGAGCACTCATCTTCTGAGTGGTTTGGTTACAAAGGATTAGATTAGTATTTGACTTCTAGTTGGTAGTTGGAACCTAGAGGGATCTCAAAAGATGGTCTTAGCCATCTTCTGAAAGATTGCCAAGAGTCTGTAGTAACTAAGCAACAACCAAGCACTTCATATATACATATAATTATCTCTGTTATCTCACAGACAAACCCATCTCTACTTACAAAGTTGTAGACTAGGAAGCACAGAATGCTATATGGACCCTGATCTAGGTCACATGGGGGTAAACTGAGTATGATAGTATACTCAAGGACTTCTCCTGGTGGTGCAGATGGCTAAGCTTGTGGCTGCTAACTGAAAGGTTGCCAGTTTAAACTCATCCAGGGATTCCACAGCAGGCAGAACTGGCTACCTGCTTCAGTAAATATTCTAAATGAGAACTCCCTGGGCCCAGTCACATGGGTTGCTGAGTTGAAATCAACTTGCGAGCATCAAAGAAAAGCATGAATACATGAGTTGTTAGTCAACTCTAGGACAAGTGATGTGCTTTGGCCGAAATAAAAATATAAAAACTCAGTTTCCTCTGCAAACGGCACCCTGGTTCTCTGAGGGTGTAGTGTAACCAGTGCCCCCAGGAGTCAGAAGTCTTTTGCAGATCTGCTGCTAACTCGTTGGTCTCTAGTGAGTGGGTGATGTCAGTCCATGCAGAATTACTCTGGTTATGTATTTAATCTTTAGCTATAGTATTATATTTATAGAAATAAATATTAAGTAACATGAAATGTGTGTGTTTTAATTAAAGTTCTTTTTAACCAAGTAACTGCTACCAAGGAGGGCATGGGGAAATCTTACTTTTAACCCTATCCTCCATTTTCATTGGGTTTTTAAAAAATGATTTCTTTTAATGAACATATGAGAAATAGTAGTTTTTCTACATGTTGAAGGCTGGGGCAATTGTAATAAAATGATAATTTGATTAGTAAGGAAGCATGTCCAGTGTAATTTTAGGATTTTGTGTTGGATATAGGGCTTGGAGACTTGAGAGTAAGTTGCTTTGATAAGATTTGTGGGTTTTGGAAGCGCAGACTAAAACAGGCCCCAGGAGTGCATTCTGAATCCACCTGTGTGAAACATAGTAGTTTTAAGAGATTTGAATTTTTATTTGTCATCACTTGCTGTGTCCATATTAAATATTAGTGCATATTACATTTTTCTTGTGTAGGTAAAGTGGCAGTTTTCTTTGGTTGCTTTTTAGATTTTTACATTTTGCCTTTGTTACCAGAAGTTTAATTTCAGTGTGTCTTGCTGTGAATTTCCTTGGTTTTATTCTGTTTGGAGTTTGCTCAGCTTCTCAAATCTGCCTGTTTACGTTGCTGATCAAATTGAGTGTGTTTTCAGCCGATGCTCCTCTGACACTGACACTTTGGCCTTGCAGCCTTCTCCTCTTTCCTGGGTCCAGTGGCACGAACGTAGGTCTCTTGTTAACACCCCGCAGGTGCTAGAGGCTGTGTTTTATTTTTCTTACCGCTCACCTTGAATAATTTCCAGGTTACTGATTCTTCTTCCTTTGAGATTTAATTTCCCCCCCCTAAAATTTCATTTTGTTTTTATGTCTTTTATTTTCGGAGACTTCCCATTACCCTGCTGAGGCATTTTTTATGTTTTTGTTTCAAGTGTGTAGGTAATTGTTCATTGAAAGTACTTAATCATGACTACATTAAAAACATTTGCCAGATAATTACAATATCTCGGTCATCTTGGTGTTGGCATCTCTTTGCATTTTTTTCGTTCAGTAGTACGATGAGACAGTATGAAATTAAAACCTATTTGTTTCATAATGTGATACTTAAATTTCAACTAGCGTTTTTTGTGTAGCACTCTGTCAGCGGAAGGGGGAGTATGTCACCTATTTATTGCTGGGTGTTAAAAGTGAGTGGCACCTCCAATGTATCCCTGCTACAGGCCAGGGGAGGAAGTTCTGGCTCCCCACATGGTTTCCCCCAACACCTGAATGGGATTGGCTTCATTCCTGGGTGATGGTGAAGGTGCTGACTTTCCACTAGACCCAGCGGTTCTCAACCTTCCTAATGCCGTGACCCTTTAATACAGTTCCTCATGTTGTGATCCCCCCCCCAAAAAAAAGCCCATAAAATTATTTTTGTTGCTACTTCATAACTATAATTTTGCTACTTGTTAGGAATCTGGCGATCCCTGTGAAAGGGTCGTTCGATTCCCAGGTTGAGAACCACTGAACTAGACCATCACCCTCAGCAGAATGTTGGAGTGCCTCATTGAAAACCTCCCAAGGATAGAAATCTGTGGTGCATTTGCTTGGTCAAGGGTTTTTTTTCCCCCTGCTGTGATGTTAGGTTGGAGGAGAACAGTTACTGTCTAAGGATAAAAGTGTTCTTCCCCTTTTTTGGTGCTGTAGCTAGAGAATAATCTTTTGTTGGCGATTTAATTATTTGTGCCCTTAGGCATTTCTGAATTGCCAGTGTTTTCAATTTATGAGCTAGCTCATCTTCCTGTCTTTCCTTGGGTTCTGGCGTGCTTAGCCCAACTGCCATCTTCCTTCCGCCTTTCACAGTCATCTTAGGGTTGTTTGGCTTATAGCTATATGTATATATATACATATATACTATACGAATATAGTATATTCGTACTTTATTAGCAGGAGAAATAGGGGAACGAAAGTACATCTCTTGTAAGCATAAGGATCTCAATTTTCTTTTTCTTTTTTTCAATTAAAAAAAATTACGGATATCTTTAAATGTCATTGTATGGATTGAAAATGCAGTACTTTAAAAAAATTATAGTTTTTTTGTAATGCTTGTGCTTGGGTTTAGATGCAATTGTATATGTTGAGATTGAAATTTTTTTCTTTATTGCAGATTCTGATGCTCACAGTACCACTTCAAGTGCCTCCCCAGCCCAGTCTCCTTGTTACAGTAACCAGTCAGATGATGGCTCAGATACAGAGATGGCTTCTGGGTCTAACAGAACACCAGTCTTTTCCTTTTTAGATCTTACGTACTGGAAAAGGTAAAAAGCCACAGAAAATTTTTCTCTAACCAGCAAACCATCTTAATTACAGGCAACTGTTTTTTTTTCCCTTCCTTAACAATTAAATGACATTTGGCAAACAGCTGGTAGCACATATGGTTGGAGGTAGATTGATCAGAGTGTTGGGATTTTGTATGTTCTTTCTATTAGAATTATTTAAAATAAAAATCACATCAGGGACCTTAGTTTTCTTGAAATTGACTCTTGAAGTTAAACTGAAAGAAAAGTACAAGTGCTATAAATATATAGTGTGTACAATTTAAAATGCTTAAATAGAAAGATAAGTCTTTAGTAGCCCAAAGCTAAGTGAATTTGGGACCTCAAAGCCCACAAACACTAGGAAAGAGGAGAATTATTCAAGAGAATTGCTTAAGGATTTTCAAGTTAATAGAACTTAAAAAAAAAAACACTTTTATATAGATATCTTATAAGAACTTCTAGGGCAGAGTAGAAATGCCCCTGTGGGTTTTGAAGACTGTAAAGAAAGTTTCGTCTTTCTCCTGTTGGTGGTCTTGAACTTTGACCTTGTGATTAGCAGTCCAACCCAGTACACCACCAGGACTGCATGGACTCTATGGCAGCATATTTGGTTTGGTTTGATTTAATAGACATATCCTAGTGAGACTATGGAATATGGAAGACAGATGTTTTAAGCAGTGAGAGTATAAAGACTTATTCAGAGAAACAAACAGCTTTTTCAGGATCAATGAAGCCAGAAGGATGATTAATACCTTCATTGGCCTAAGAGATAGTTCCTCTCAACCTAAAATTATATATGTAGCAAATTATTTAATGAAGAAAAGTATGTAGTAAAACATTTGGAAGAGCACTTGGTAATAGGTTATGAGGGGGGCTTTGTACTGCTGCAAGGTCAGTTGTTCAAACTCTGGCAGCAGCCCTAGGGAGAAAGATGAAGGAAGCTTTATTCTTTCATAGAGATACACGGCCTTGGGAAAACCCACAAAGGCAGTTCTACTCTGTCCTATAGGGTCATTGTGATTGGGAATCTATTGGATGGCGGTGAGGGTAATGACTTTTTGATTTTTATAAAAAAGTTTGCTGCTAAGCTTGATCTCCCTCCTATTCCCCCAATAAAGAAAACTAATAGGCAAAACAAAAGGAATTCTGAGATGAAAACTGAGCAGTAAATATTTTGGTAAACTTAAATGAACATTGTTTAAAATGACAACAGGTGTGTGTGTGTGAAAAAGAATTAGTAACAACAAAAATATGCCTTGAAAAGGGATACAGAAATTAAGAGTCAGTGTCCTAATGTAGTGTCCTATTAAGTGGTTGTTCTTTTTCTTTTTTAACAGATTGACATAATTCACATAACAAATATTTCAATAGTTTAAACAAATTCCAAAGAATTGTGCAACTTGAATAGTGTTTTAATAGCTTTAGACTTGGATATGTTAACTGTTATTTTAACATTTTTAGCGTGACCACTAAAACTATATGGTCTTTAGAATAGAATGAAAGTAAATACCCAATTAAAAGATTGCAGTAAAGGATGGAAAAGACATGAACATGATGAAGGGAGACATCGGACAGTGTAAGATATGACAAAATAAAAATTTATAAATCATCAGGGGTTCATGAGGGAGGGGGGAGCGGGGAGGGAGGGAGAAAAATGAGGTTCTGATGTCATGGGCTTACGTGGAAAGCAAATGTTTTGAGAATGATGAGGGTAACGAATGTACAAATGTGCTTTACACAATTGATGTATGTATGGATTATAAGTTTTATCAACCTCCAATAAAATGATTAAAAAAAAGAACAGATATGAACAAACAACATAGAAACATGCTAGAAATAAACCCTAAATGACTTACAATCACAGTAAATGTAAATAGTGGCTACATTTAAAAGGTCAGAGGTTGGATAAAGCAAATCCAGCGATATTCTATTTACCAGAAATAGAGTATAAAGTTAAAAACAAACCAAGGATTGGGAAAAAATATATATTCCTAGCAAACAATCCCATCCCCCCCCCAAAAAAAAACCTTATATAGATTTAATATAAATGGACACAATACATTTTAAATTCAAAACAAAGAATTTGCTACATAGTAACAAAAGCAGCAATTGATAAGGAAGTTTAAACATTTCAAAACTTTTGCCTTTATAAGCAGCTTTAAAATCCTAAACTGGCAGCATAATGGAGAAATTGTCAAATACTCTACTATAATTGGAGAATTTCAAAACCACGGAAGTATCAAGCAGATAAATCAGTAGTGATCTAGATAGAGGTGGTTGGTGTGAAACTTGATTTCATGGCCACATGGCATTAATTTTTTTTTAAGGGCCTTGGGGTGTATAAAGCAAATTAGTTTTCCAACCAGTACATCTTAAATTGTGCGATAGCTGATTGCAATTCCTGAAACGTATCAGCATTCTCCCCCTTTCATTCCTCGGTTCTCTATTTCCCTTCTTCCATTTTCCCTAATACTTTATTGCATTCTCATCTGGTTTGGACATATGGGTTTCGTATAGTTGCTAATTCTAAATAGTACCTTCTTTCTGGGTGGTCTTGTGTATTTTATAGGTCCACCTATTAATAGCTGAATGTTGGCCATCCTGAGCGCTCTTCACTTTCACGTTTTAGAAGATTGTCTAAGGGCAGTACTCTTGGGTTCCTCTAGTCTTTTTAGAACAGTAAGTCTGGTCTCTTATTTTTAACCTAGTGTACAAGAATCTTCAATGCTTGTGGTAAGAGTTGTACAAGCCCCCAATAAAATGATTTAAAAAAAGACACAACAATCTTCCTTTTTTTTTTGTGACACAACAATCTTCTATTATGGTTCTGGTCAGAGTGATGAATGGTAGTATTGGATTAGAGGAGGCTGTAAGTTTGGGGTTTTTTTAATCATTTTATCGGGGGCTCATAAAATTCTTCTCACAATCCATACATCCATCCATTGTGTAAAGCATATTTGTACATTCGTTGCCCTCATCATTCTCAAAATATTTGCTCTCCACTTAAACCTGTGGCATCAGCTCATTTTTCCCCCTCCCTCCCTGCTTCTTCATCTCTCATGAACTCTTGATAATTTATAAGTTATTATTTTGTCACGTCTTACACTGTGTGATGTCTCCCACTCTTCTGTTGTCCATCCCACAGGGAGGAGGTTATATGTAGATCCCTGTAATTGGTTCCCCCTTTCCACCCCACCCTCCGGGTATTGCAGCTCTCACCACTGGTCCTGAAGGGATCATCCACCCTGGATTCTCTGTGTTTCCAGGTCCTATCTGTACCAGTGTATATCCTCTGGTCTAGTCAGATTTGTAAGGTAGAATTGGGATCATGATATTGGGAGGCGGGGAGAAGCTTTTAGGATCTAGAGGAAAGTTGTGTGTTCCACCGTTGCTACACTGCACCCCGACTGACTCGTCTCCTCTCCGTGACCCTTCTGTAAGGGGATGTCCAGCTGCCTACGCATAGGCCTTGGGTCCCCACTCCGCATTCCCCCTCATTGACAATTATATGATTTTTTGTTCTCTGATACCTGAGCCCTTCAACACCTTGTGATCACACAGACTGGTGTGCTTCTTCCCTGTGGGCTTTGTTGCTTCTGAACTAGGAGCAATAGGAGGCTGTAAGTTAATGAGTCATTTGGACTAATAGTTTCCTTGAATTTTTCTTTGTTTGTTTTTTTTTTTTCTCTTCCCTGTGCTCGAGGCAGGGAGAGACCAACAATTATTTCTTAGATGGTTGCTTGCAAAGGTGCTACTCATCAGACTTGTATGTTGAGCAATATGTCCCCAGAAATTAATGACCTTTCACCTTAAAGTCTAAAAGCTCAGTCCCAATATATAGTTTCTATGACTGTGCTTCCTATCTGCTCTCTTCTATGAGTATTCATGCAGCACTTATAGATTGTGGAACTATCTACAACCATACCTGTATATGTATGTGAATAGACTCCCATTTAACTTCCCTCACCTGCTTAGCATACACATTTACCTACATATCTACTCTCTAATTATTGCTTGTGATTAGTATTATTGTATTGTGCTTGTGTTATAGTTTTTACTGTAGTTGCCCATTATTCTTGTATACCTTTCAGTATCTCCCTTTGCCATAGTAATTTGCTAATTCACCCATATTACGAATTACTGCCTTTCTCTTCACCATAATTAACACCTGTATGACCTATCTACTTAGTCTCTTCCCCAAGCCCTTCTTTAGCAAAAGGGCAGTGATCTTTATGTAAGCTGACTGCAACATACTTTTTCTGGGAAGTGTGGCTGGTTGGTTAGCACTGGAACATTGTGCTATCAGACTTCCTTTGGCCACCAGGAAAATAGACTTACATCTTGGTGGTACAGAGGAAATGTTTGATAAACTTTCCCTTGAAAGTTTAAAACAAAAGGTTAATAAAAATAGAAGGCAGGGCTTTCTTACCAAGATAATAGGCGATAGATTAAAAAATACTGCATATACGTGTGTATAAGCCAAGTTTTTCAGCACGCTTTTAATGACGTTTTTGTGGTAAAATTAGGTGCCTCGGCTGATATTTGGGTCAGCTTATACTGGAGTAAATATGGTAGGTAAGAGATGGAAGGGGTTACTTGCTGGGGTGGGTGCTCACATGAAGATTAGCAATTCAAAACCACTAGTCACTCCTCTCTTAGAGATGGACAGTCTTGGAACTTGTTTGTTTGGTGTTGGTGTTGGTGGTGGTTTGTTTGAGTTAGCATTGTATTTGTTATGTAATGAGTTATTTTCTCTGAGATCAGAAACAAATTGTGTTCACTATTAAACAGTATTACACAGGAGAGCCTAGCCAACGCAGTAGTGATTGAAGTGATGCTGGTGGTAACACACAGAGCAGTGCCTCCAGAAACTCCAGACTCGCTGCCATGGAGTTGATGGCAGCTCATACGAACTCTAGGACAAAGTAGAACTGCCCCTGTGGGTTTCCAAGACTAAAACTCTACGGGAGTAGAAAGGCTCGTCTCTCTCAGGGAGCTCCTGGTGGTTTTGAATTGCTAACTCGGGTTAGCAAGCAGTCCAGAACACATTACCACACCACCACCACCACCATGGCTCCTTTATTCCTCATTCATTTATTTTTTTCAAGGCTCCATCTTTAACAGTGCCTAATATATCATAAACATTACTCAGATGTTTATATGTAATAGTTAATCCTATTAACAGTCCAGTGAGAGATTCTGAGAAATGGAGGTATAGAGAGGAAATTGCTAAGGGTACACTGTAAAAAGAATATGTCCTTTGTGAAGAATACTGAAAAATTATATAAGATTCCTGAACATCACTTTAAAAGACAAATAAATTGTGAATGTTGAAAATGACAAGTTATGAAAATGAGTTTGGCAAAATAAGAAATCTCATCCAATGTGTGGAACCAGTTTTGAAGTTTATGTAGAAATACAAAGGACCCAAAATAACAATAGGAAAAATGTGGATATAAACTTGCCCCCAAAGAAATCAATACTTACTATGAAGCTGTAATAGTTGATAGGGCATGTTGGGGGCATAGAAATAGAATAATAAGCCAGTGGACTGGAATTGAGAGCCAAGAAGCAAGCCCATGCATGCTTGGAGAGTTGATATGTCTGCCTGGTGTTTGAGATCAGTGAATAACAGAACTCTGGGCTGTTTCTAGGATATAATAAGCTGCGTGGTTATCCAGGTGGAAGATGTTTGCTGGACAGCATACTCCTAAGTCCATGCTAGTTCATTACAGGAGAATATATTTTTTATTTGGGGACAAAGACTATGACATCAAGACCAAGTGTGACTATTGCAATGAGAACTTTAAGTTCACCAGGGATACCATAAAGAGAATGAAACATAACCAACTCTAACAAAGGGATAGTACCTAGAATTCATTTAAAAACTACAAAGTAAGAAAAGACAACCCAACAGAAAAATGGACATGTTTTAAAAAGGAAACCTATAGCTCAAATGAAAACATGTTAGTAACTGGTAATAAAGAAAATGCAAATTAAGATCTCAATGAGATGCCATTTTACACCGACTAGATTGTCATAAAGTTCCCAATGTCAAATGTTAAGACCTGGAGCTACTGTTGGCTGTGAATGCAAATAGTTACAACTGCACTGATAAATGAATATCTTTAGTAAAATTGCCCATCAGAAAGGAGAGTGAGTAAGTATATTTATATAGCATTCTATGCATATAAAGTAAGTATTGCGGGGGGGAGGGTTCACAGAATACAGTGTTATTTTATATATACTATATAAAGAATGCTTTAAAAAGTTTGTGTAAATATTGAGTTTAAAAATCATTGAATTTTCCACAAACTTTTAGAAGCCCGCTCCTATATGTCTGATATATACATAAGCTATAAAAACATGTAGTAATTGAGACATGATGCAGACAGACATGAAAAGGTATGTGTTTATATATAACTAAGCAGTATTCGTTCTGTGTGTAGAGAAACAAATATCTTAGATCTATGATGTATGAAGAAAACCTGAAATTTAGAGACCAGGAAATGGAATGCGTAGGGTGAGACTGAATGACATTTTACAGGGGGCTTTATAGGAAATGGGAATGGTTTTTTTCTCTTTAGAGATTGTAATTCGTGGGTGTTTTTTGTAATTTATTTTTTTAGTGTACGCTCTGTAATTGCTTTTCAGAATGTCTTTCCTGCCTCTCAGAAGGTCATCTTCCCCTTTAATATTTGATAAAATTCCAATGTGACCTCAAAGAGACCTAGGTGATTTCCATTACGTAATGGGTCATTTTAGGAACCCGCTTATTAGAAATGCCATGCGATTGTGGAAGTAGACCCTTCCTTGTCATGTTCGAATCATAGAGATTTCCCCCTTTTTACATTTCTGTTTGTCAGCCTTATTAATATATCGTTTTTCCTTTTTCTTTCAGACAGAAAATCTGTTGTGGGATTATCTATAAAGGCCGTTTTGGAGAAGTTCTCATCGACACCCATCTCTTCAAGCCCTGCTGCAGCAATAAGAAGCCAGCTGTTGAGAAACCAGAGGAGCCAGGCCCAGAGCCTCTGCCCATCTCCACTCAGGAGTGGTGACTGAGGTGTATGTATAAGGGCAACAAAAAGCGATTTACATTTTGGAAAAACACAACAAAGTAACCTTCCTATTTTTAACTTGGATATTTGCTATTCTGCCAAAAGACATATGTAGAATGGTTTTGAATGGGTTATTTTTCTCCCCACTTCCACAAACTTTGAAGCCAGTGTCTAGTTCAAAAACTGTGTACATACTATTTAAGATGCTGAGTGTTTCATAGGAAAGCTGAATGCTGCTGTAAAGTGCTCTTTAAGCCTCCCCCCCTTTTTTTAATCCCCTTGTATGAATGAAAAGGGGTGTTTTCAGGGGACACAGATGGGGTTTTGTTGTATGATAAACCATATGTAGTTTTAGTCTTTTCTATATTGAGATTGAGAAGCAGTGGTTGGGGCATTTTAAAAGATGGCTGGCTACACTTGTTTTCCCTCATGATAATAAATTTGTCATAATTTAGTAACTTGGACTTGCCCCTAGAGGTATTTGTTAATTTTGACATATTAGGTCTTGCTGATGTTCTGAAGATTCAAACCTATACTACTGAAATATTAAGCAGGACAGACTAAACTTTCAGGTACAAATACCTTGAAGGAGAAAGTTGACTAAATAGACAGAGGTAATATGACTATATGCTGTTGTATCCGGTTTCAGCTCCATATTAATATCTGATGAAGATTTTAATTTATACGAAACATCTAAAGCAGAATCCAAGCTTCTCTTGGGGAAAGGGCAAGTTTTCAGAATAAGCAATCCTAAATTGGTACCAAAGTATTAACATAATAGAGACCACATTCTATTAAAAAACATTAACCTATCTGGAAAATAAAATGTGCAAGTCTTCAAGGTAGCATAAAACGAAGGCTAATGGTCCTTGGGAGCACATTTCTTAGTGTGCTTGCCAAGCGTGTAAATAATCGACTTTTCTGTGTTATGTGACTGGTGACTTCACTGAAATCTGCACAATTCAGTTTTAGCTCTGGATGACTTCAGTTGACCTTTGTGAAGGTTTTACCTGTGTAGAGTGGGTGTTTGACTTGTTTTAACCTATTCGGGTTTTGTTTGTTTCTCCTTCACTCTGTATTTAAAATTCTCATAGAAAGAGGTGTGTGTCTAATGCTCAGTGGGTTGACTTGGGAGTTTGGCTGCTTTTAGCCAAGCTTTCTAATCATTCAGATTTTGGGAGCTATGTAAATTTTGAATGTGGATCTCTTAACTTCCAAAGTCCTCATTATAGGCCTCTCACTTGAGCCCAAACCAAAGTACTCATGACCTCTTTTCTAAAAGTTCAGGAATAAACTATCAGCAGTTAAGACTTAATAGCGAGGGAGGAACATTTTGCCTACCTTATAGTAACCATACTTAGTGTTTATTTTTAAAACTGGATTTTTAAAATTGGATAGTATAAATATCAGTAAGGATTGAGCCACTTTTTATGGGCATCCTATAGTTTTATAGTTCTTAATCTAAATGTAAGATTCTATATTCTTTTTGGGGAAAAACCGACATGCTCCATGCAACCATATGCACAGACCACACAGTAAGTTGAGGCAGCTCCCCACAGCCTTTGAGGTGCATTACAAGAGTCCCAGCCTTATCATCTTCCTTCCGAATTTTGTTTGAAATGGTTAATCTTTTCTCTTTTTGTACATTTTGGCTGCAGTATTGGTGGTAGAATATACTATAATATGGATCATCTCTACTTCTGTATTTATTTATTTATTACTAGACCTCAACCACAGTCTTCTTTTCCCCCTTCCACCTCTCTTTGCCTGTAGGATTACTGTATGTAGTCATGCACTTTTTGTATTAATATATTAGAAATCTACAGATCTGTTTTGTACTTTTTATACTGTTGGATACTTATAATCAAAACTTTTACTAGGGTATTGAATAAATTTAGTCTTATTAGAAAATAAAAGAGGCTTTTTGTGGTTTATTTGAAAGGTGGATTTGGGTTAAGGTGAACTAATGTTTTGCCCTTCACAGATATCCAGTGTTGGTGACCCATGCACAGTGAAACTAAATGTTGCCTGAACCTTTTGAATTTTAGAGTTTTCATCCGCTGATTTTAGAAGTAGATCCTTGTCCATCTCAGCTTGGGATCTCTGCTCACACCTTTCATCAGCAGCAACACACAGACTCCATTGAGACTGACAGCTGTCCACGAGATGCACTGGCTATAAATCCAACCCCAGTGTATACATGGAAGGCAAGAAATCTACCTCTGGGCTACCGGTGAATGAGCTCATTACTCGGTGAAAGCCCAAAGTATTATAATAAGCCAAGGGATAAGTAATTAATATTTTAGAATGAAAGACATTTTAACTGTTGTGCACAATACAGTTAGCCTATTAAGTTGACGTTAAGAGCAAAGTGCCCCCGTTATAATTTTTTTTTACTATTAATCATTATATTGGGGGCTCTTACAGTTCTTATAACAACCCATACATCCATTGTGTCAAGTGCATTTGTGCATATGTTGCCATCATCCTTTTCACAACATTTCCATGGTATCGGCTCCTCTTTATTTCCCGCCCTCCCCTGTCCTCCCATACTGACGAACCATTGATAAATTATAAATTATTTTCATATACCATCCACTAGCTCCCGTCACCTATGTTCATGTGTGTCACCCTGGGGTGGTGGTGGTGGTGGTGGGGTTTTATATGTTGATTTTTGCTATTGGTTTTCCCCTACCCTCATGGTATTGCTACTCCTGAGGGGGTTTTCTGTCCTGGAATTCTGTGTTCTAAGCTCATCTGTATCAGTGCACATGCTCTGGTCTATCCGGATTTATTTATTTATTTTTTAAAAACATTTTATTAGGGGATCATACAACTGTTATCGCAATCCATACACACATCAATTGTGTAAAGCGCATTTGTACATCATTTTCAAAACATTTTCTCTCCACTTAAACCCCCACATTAGGTCCTCATTTTTCCCCTCCCTCCCCACTCCCCCCTCCCTCATGAGCCCCTGATAGTTTATAAATTGGTATTTTGTCATATCTTGCCCTGCCTGACGTCTCCCTTCACCCACTTTTCGGTTGTCTGTCCCCAGGGAGGAGGTCACATATAGTTCCTTCGGATTTATAAGGTATAACTGGGGTCATGACAGTGGGGGAGGGGGAAGCATGAGAGAACTAGAGTATATGTTTTCGTTAGTGCTATACTGCACCTTGGCCGACTCGTCCCTTCCTTATGACCTTTCTTGGAGTGGATGTCCAATTGTCTACAGATAGGTTTTGGTCTTCACTCCGCCTCACCTCATTCACAGCGATATGATTGTCTTGGATCTTCTGATGCCTGAGCCCATTGACAACTCATGATCACACAGGCTGGTGTACTTCTTCCATGTGGGCTTTATTGCTTCCCTGCTAGATGGCCACTTGTTTACCTTAAGACTCCAGATGCTATATCTTTTAATAGCCGTATGCCTAGGATCTTAATGTCTAATGTGGTTTCATTGTATATGGATATCAAAGAAATCATTGAGAATTATAAAAGTTGGTTATAGGGGAAGACAAGTTTTGACTTGGCAAGTCAGAGTTGGCCCTTTTGTTTTCAGACTTGGATCTTATGGTACCATTTGGTCTTTGTGAGCCTTCTTTTCTACTCTATAAAATAAATTGGTCCACATATTAAACAGAATTATGAAGGCTCTAACGAAGTATAAACTCCCCGTCAGGAGAAATGGAAAACAGGTTGATTTATTACCCTGAGGAAGATACATAGTGTGAGCCAAACTTTTTATATTATTGTTTGTGGTAAGTCTTAGTTTACAACCATGAGACTTTTGTTTAAGTGTTAGGTTGCTAACTGCAAGGTCAGCTTTTCAAACCCATCAGCTGCTGCTTGGGATAAAGATGGACGGGGCTGTCTGCTCCTCTAAAGATTTACAACCTCAGAAACCCTATTGGTCACTGAATTGATTGGATGGCAGTGACTTGTTTTTGTTTTTCATTTTTCAGTCCAGCTGCTATAAAATTGTCATGTTATCAGGATGGGGTAAAGTCACAGCACTTGTAGTATCTAGTGTGCAGAGCAAATCAGACGTTTATTATCTGTTTTTGTGGCGGTGAAGTAGGGCCACTTCGTAGCTGGAACCTCGGCTAGGGTGTCAAGGCTATGGGGAAAGTGTCATTTGAGCGACACTCACTTGGAAACATGATTTCAGAAGACTGATTCTAAGCTAACAGGTTGTGGCTAAATTTATTTCCTTTTCGCTATAGGACTATGATCAGTTTCTTGCCACCTGGGGTTTCCCAACATGGCCACTTATTTTTTTAAGGAAAGTTTCTGGAGCCAGTTTGTGAGTAATAGGGAGTCGTCTCTTCTTGATGTGATTGAATTGTATGGCGTGGATAAAAGGCTAATGAAGCTTAATTTTAAAAAGTCTCAGCACATTTGAGTGGAGAAAATTACATAAAGACATGGGATTATGTAAGGGATCACAAAGGTAGGGAACCTCCTTGGATTCTGATTAAGCAAAAAAAAAAATTGTTAACAGTAATCCTTTACACTTGGGTGTCTTCTATACGATGTAAAAGCTTGGCATAAGGTGATAAAGCAAACCCAGAAACTCCCACCTTCTCTCATTAGGAAGCATTTACTATTAGGAACCTTTGAACATTAAGCAACCCTACCTCCTTCAAAAAAAATTCCCTCACTAGTTGCTCAGAGATAAGTTGGAAGTGCAAATTATTTAAGTTGTCTGTTTTCCTGACTAAAATCTTTGCTCTTTAAACTCAATTCTTCCTCTTTGTGGTAGTGATGCCTCTTTTTTATTTTATTTTATTGGTCTCTTAAAAATCTTATGACAATCCATCATTCAGTTGTATTAAGCACACTTGCACATCTGTTGCCATCAACATTTCCAGAACATTCTTTCTACTTGAGCCCTTGATATCAGCTCCTCTTTTTCCCCCCACCATCCCATCCTCGTGAATGCTTGATCAATTATATATTACTGTTATTTTGTGTGTAAATGGCTGTCCTGTTGTCTCCATCCACATTTCTGTTGTTAGTCCCCCTGGGGGGTGAGCTATATACCCAACCTTGTGATGGGTTCCCCCACCCTCATCATCCATCTACCCTCCTGATATTGCTACTCCCACTACTGTTCCTGAGGGGTTTATCTGTCCTAAATTCCATGGGTCATACTGTTCCTGAGGGGTTTATCTGTCCTAAATTCCATGGGTCAAGAGCTCTTACCTGTACCAATGTGTGTTCTCCGGTCTAGCCAGATTTGTAAGGTAGAACTGGGTCATGGTGGGTGGGGAAGCATTCAGGAACTAGAGGAATGTGTATTTCGTCAATGCTATACTACACTCTAGTGAAATTGTCCCTTGTAACCCTTCTGTCCGGGGATGTCCAATTGTCTACAGATGGGCTCTGGGCTTCCATTCCACTCCCTTCATTCACATAATTGTTTTGGATCTTTTTTGATAACTGATACCTGATCCCATCTATACCTCATGATCACAGGCTGCTGTGCTTCTTCAATGTGGGCTTATTTGCTTCCCTGCTAGATGCTTGCTTGTTTAACTTCAAGCCTTTAAGGCTCAGACGCTATATCTTTTGATGGCCAACACCATCCACTTTCTTCACTACATTTGCTTATGTACCTGTTTGGTCTTCAGCGATAGTGTCGGGAAGATGAGTATCACAGAGTGCCGGGTTATTAGAACAAAGTGTTCTTGTGTTTAGGGGGGATCTTGAGTAGAGGCCCAAAGTCGTCCTGCTATCTTAATACTTTAACATAAGAAATATGTACATTGGCCTCTATCCCTTTCATTATAAATTGATATATTTACATATATACATGCCTATGGCTATACCTCTATAAATAGCCTTTTCTTCCTACTTGTTTCTTCTATTTCCTTTCACCTTCTTCCTGTCTCACTACCATGTTCACCCTCTACCAACTCTCAGTAATTCCTGTTGGATACATTGCACTTGACAGACCCTACCAGGCCTTCTGTCCATCAGTTGTAGCTCTCTTGTTCCCTCATCCCGGAGTTTGTTGGCTACCCATTCACCCGCCTTGTCCTCTCCCATGTTCCGCCGGGACTGTCATTCCCGTCGTTTTCCCTTCAGGATTGTTTGTCCTACCTATTTTATCTAGATGGACATAGGAGTGATGCCTCTTTTTTAATCGTCCCATTGAACCTCTCTGTACTTTCTGAAGACTTAAAATGTGAGGCCAGATTTACTCTTGCAAAGATGTTACCCTGAATGTTAATTTTTTAAAAACTAAAAACTTTCCACCCCCAATTTCTCCGCAGTGTTCGTGGAGAAAATGGTTTAGAGTGATAATGATACTCTACCCATGAATCCAGGAAGCCAGAGTTTCACTGCTTGTTCTGAGGTGAAGAATTAAGCTATCCAGGGATCTTCTTCAACATCCCCAGCACCATTTTCTGTCACCTCCGAGTTAGCATTGTAGTGCCCTGGCAGTCATTTTTGTGTGATGTTCAGTGAACTGGGAAGGAAGAAAGCCAAGTAGGATCAAAGATAGATAATTTCACAGGCTCCTGTTCTCAAAGAAAGGAAAAGGAGGGTCTGTGTGACAATTTCTCGGGCTCTGGAGTCTGGTTACTTATTGTGATTGTGAGAATGCTTTAGGTATCAAATACCTTGCACCCTGGGTAGAAACTGCTTGTTACTGGATGTTGAGGGGTGGGGGGTGGGGTCTTGGACTTCTTTTGTAGGCTTCAGTGCAAAAGAGCTTAATCAGTTTAGAGAGAACCTGAAAAGATTTTGTCAAAGCTTGTCCTTTGTGTCAGTGTCTGAAGGGGGTAAAAAGTAATTTAGTCTTATTTTAGAACTTCCATTCTCTGCACTTCTATAGTTTCTGTAGCTTAACCCCGTCCAGGTAGTGACTGGGTTTGTGCAACTGCAAGGAGGA